CCTCACCCACGCCATCAACGTCAGATCCGCGGGAGAGAGATACTGATTGCGGACGAATTAATCAGAATGATGCGTACGTGTCAGCGGCGAGATTTCCGGTAAAAAGCGGTGGTCAGACGTTCACCCTTCCCGCGGAGACGCCGGAGAAGATCTCTCTCCGTTGATCTTCATCTTCCTGCTCCTCCTGCTCTTCCTCCTCTTTCTCCTCCTCCTCCTCCTCCTCCTCCTCCTCCTCGTTCCAGTGTGGAGGAGCCGACTCACTGACTAGAGAACTCGAGTCTCTCCTGTGGAACATCCCTGGCAGTTTCACGTCGACGGTCATCCGGATCGACTCGCGGCCAAGGTCGATCGTCAACGACAGTTTTCTATTGTTCGCGTGTCTTCTCCAGTGGATGGTCAAAAATTGGAATTTCTGTGGAATTTTCATTTCAATTTCTCTCGCCGAAAATTTGTGAAAGTAAAAAAAATTTGTGAACTCGGACGGTGTTTGAGAGTATTATTCAGTGTGATTGTACGATAGATCGACGATATTGATCGATACTACTGAATGATTCGTATGAATAACATGGGATTCACGGCGGTGGTGCGTTGGTGTGTTTTTCGAGAAATTTTGGGAAACTTCTGGTCGGGAGATTCTGTCTGAAGAGTTTTTGGAGAGATTGAAATCGAGCAGTATTGGAAAGTAAGTGGATTTTAAGACGCGAAGCGGAGTATCCTGTTCTGTATTTTCAAGATCACGTTCTGTAGAAACTTTGATGGATTTTTGATCCTGGGATGAAATGGTGGGTTCTCCATTTATTTTTGGAATATGTTTAATAATTAGTTTGAATTTGCTTGAAGTGGATGTTACAATCTGAAAATTATATTTTTCAACGATTAAAATATTCTATTTCTACTCATTTTCATTGTTAGACTGTATACTTTTTGACGAGGAAAAACCAAGACTATTTGATGATAAATTTGAAATGGATATTAGATCATTAGAATTATATTTTTCAATCGCTAAAATATACTATATAATTTTTTACTTATTTACGAATAAGATAAGCAGTTGATATTTTCAAGTAATTTTCTAACAAGAAGTGTGAAGTCTTTTGAAATAGATATTGGATTATTAAACTACACTTCTTAATCAATTAAAATTATTCTTTCTCTAATTCATCGTGCTCAAGTACGTAATGTTTAGTTATAATATATATTTAATTCTTAAAAAACGAATGACTTCCATTAGTAAATTAAAAAAATAACGCTCGCAACAATACTCCTAATTTTTGGAACAATTTTTTTCATCCCCTTTCACGCCAATTATTCAGTAATTATTATGCTACCAAATACAATTCTAATTTCATTCAAAATCGTACTTTCTTCTACGTAGATTTTTCTTCGATTTATCCAAGCATTTATCTTAAATTGGCATTTTCACCGCGAAGAAAGGTCTTCGACATGATTTTCCCTGAGCACGCGAGCAATTTCGTCCGGTTGCTTCCGTTCGTTTATTCGATTTCCATTAGACCGAACTCGGCCGGTAAACGAGCCGTGAACTTGGTAATTGTAAGTTGAACGATCCGCACGCTTTAAATCCGGCCGCGTACATTAGCTTCTCCACGCGATTCGTCGACACGTGATGCTGTAATCTGTTTGTCGACCTTAATACCGTTGCCTTCGGCGCGGCAGCCGCGTGAACGAGGATCCTCCGTCATCCGGCACTGCTGACAATCATCTAAACGTCCACCAGTTGGTATTTACCTCGTAATTCATCGTAAATTAATAGCGAAAAACAAAACTACTGGTTTAATAGAATATGATAATAAAGAAGGTAGCAAAGAAAAAGATTTTTAGGACCTCAATGAAAATTTTAAGCGACTCAACTTCTTTCAAGGCGAATTTTTTTGATTGGTCGAAAGATAATAGGATAGTAGGAAAGATCAAGAAAACAAAAAAAAGAAAAAGATAAAATTTCTTGATAATTTGTTCTGCAAGATATTGTTGATTTTAAAGAAATAGATCTGGTCTAATTAATGAGATTGAGTGAATGCATCATAAAACACGAAACAGATTTTCTTCAAGTTTATGGACCATTCTTTGATGCGCGTTTAAAATGGAATCTTGCCGTGGGTATGTTTCATTAAGTGGACAATTGAAGAATTCGTCTACTTTTTACTGGATTTGGTACGACGTTCTTTGAACATATTCACCGGATAATTGCATTTTCTAAAAATTGAATTCCATGTACAGTTACAAGTCTCTCTGATTTTGTGCTCATCAATTAGGCATTCCCGTCTTCGTTCCGATTAAATCTGATCAGACAAGATTCGCGCTTGGTTAATTCCTCCATTTAAATTTCAAATCCGTCGGAAAGAGAAAAGGCATTGGCTAAATTTTTCCAAAACTCGAATATTCAGCAAACGAATGTTTAAATTTAAAAAAAAAATCAAAAATAAAAAGTCACAGAATCTTTCGGTAAGTGAAACAGACACTCGTAAGTACAGAAATAGATTTCATACGAATAGGAGGATTTCATACATGGGATAGAAGTGATCATCCTATTTTACAATATCATTCCATTTTATATCGCCCTGTAATTCAAGCAGACAAGATTTCATCGGAGATTTAATGGGAAATGGAGCCTCAACCACGATCTTCTTGACATCAATTCGTTCCCGTTGTCGTAATTAGCCGGTCAGATCGGTAATCGTCCAATTTTCGACGATAATCAGTTTCGTCACGACCTCGGCGTGCAACGGTGAACACATGAACAGATGGGCTCCGTTTACGTGTTCGTGCCAGCGACAGTTATTCCCCATAAGACAGACAAGTCTTCTGAAAAGTCTCCCGATCCGGATAACTGTAAATGATTTCACGCTGCTTCGTTTTCCAGCGAACTTCGACGTAAATATTAGAAATTATAATTCGTACCTTGGATTTATTTCGCGTGTTTATTTGTTTCTCGCAAGCTTGGAGAATAATTTAGAATAATTTCCGATATCCAAGGATATTTTTAGGAGGATCCTCGAGTGATGAAGATCCTCCTAAAAATAATGTTTTCGACGTTACAATTACAGGATGATGCTGTGCAATTTATATTTTAAATAATTTATATTCAAATTATATATAACACTACAATATATACATGAGCCTAAGTTTCTAACTTAGCATCTGCACTGGATCGTTAGGAATATATGTCTGTTAAAAATTATAGAGTGTCACTAGTGAAAAATTACGACATCGTATCACATTCGTCTGTAATTAAATTTCTAATGGCGGAATTATATGGTAATGTGCTCTGCGCTATTAAAGATAGAATAAAAATATTAAAAACATTCGCCTGCCGACCGTGACTCGTGAGAAATCGGGACGATATCACACCTCTCGTCTACACTCTGTATTTTATAATAAATTTCTAATTGCGGGGTCGCACGACAATGTATCATTAAAACTATTAAAGAAATATTGAGAAATCCAATATCCATTGTTGCCTTAAATTTCTAATAGCGTGGAACCGCACGTGTGCCAGAATATTAAAAACATCGAATAACAATGTCACATAATTCTTCTAAAATTAAACTATAAAGTGACCAAGAAACAAATCGTTTTTCCAACTGTCATAAATTACCTGGATCATAAAATTAAAATGTTTAAAAAAAAAAAGAAAGATTAAATTTTACAAATATATTTCACTGAGATCGCGAAAGCCACTCGTAGATTAAAGGTGTAATAAAAATATGAAAAATATCGTTTATTATCCACGTTGGATCGTTCCTCTGCATCGGATGTTCAAAGAAACGTGGCGCGAGTCTGGCGCGTCGTCGCGGTGAAAATCGTGCGGCGTCGATGGCATGCACGCGATAATTCTGCGCGAGTGGGTATCGAGTGCCGCGTACCTGCGATTTCTACCTCGGTAAACAATGCGATCCCTCGCGAAACGCAATCGTCTCATCCCACTCGCGGGGAGCGCCGCTTCGTAGCCTTCGTAGCGACTCGTAGAACTGCGACGAGGCACTACGAGTGTGAAAATTTCGCTGGAATCCGCTGATGCAACAATAAGCCGAGACGTTCTAGTTATTATGTTTTACGAGTAGACAGGAACTGAGATGTGGAAACACCGATTCATTCACCGGGGAAATTAAACCGAACCGACGATAATCATGGACCAGTAAATCTTCTTCGCGGCGCGTGAAATGTACGTCGAGGATTCGAAGCCTGCCGTTGAAGAATGTGTTCCGTAGAAACGGAAGCACGAACAGGTTAATTAATTGCAGTTCGAGGATGTTTGTACAATTTCATATCTTCTTTATGAATGTGACTTACGAGATGGAACTGTAATCGCCACTTTACTTTGAACACCCTGTAAATTTCTGTTCTTTAGAATGTTTTATAAAAATCATCGCCTGGAAATAATCGAGTTTTAACGATCCACGCTTTATGGAGATTTATTCATACTTTCTCTTCTTACTGATACGGTATTACTTCATTCATTCAGACGGAATTTATTTGAGAACAAATAGTCTGTAACAACAGAAATTTTTGCTCTTTAAAGTGTTTCATAAACGCCCATCACTTGGAAATAATCGATTTTTAATGATTCATACTTTACTCGTACTTTCTCTTCTTACTGATGCGGTATTACTTCGCGCATCGGGATTTATTTGAGAACAAATAGTTCTGTAACAACAGAAACGCACGTAATGGCAGTTCAAACAAGTAGATTTAACCGATACTTGGTCAGACACTGACTGCAATTTCTCTCAAATAAACGAGATCCATGCGGACACCTTTGTAACCAACTGTATCCCTCACTGTAGCAACATGTAGTTCCATGCTAACTATGTTTCAAAAGAGTGACGATCGATGACCTTGATAAAAGGCAGCGCTTCGAAGGATGAAATTACAAGGCTCTCCGTCACTTTTACTCGAGCCCAGATTCGATACGTTACCAGTCGATGGACCGTTCTTCGTCCAATCCTGTCTGCAATTACAGTTTTTAATTGCCAGCCTGTCCGACATGTTGCAGTCTCGCATAAATTTAACGCTGGCTGCAGATCAGCCGCAAGGATCCGTGGAAACGAGGTGAGATCCTGGCGAGATCCTCACCAATCCACAGCCCCTCCTTCCGAGTCTTTCCAATTTTTTCAATTACATCTCTACTAGCCATTCAGACTTTCATTGCGATTCTGGTGCTCGATAAAAACGAGTGGCATTGTGTTTTGATTTTTCGATACTGTATACAATTAGACACATGTATCTATATTAGTATATTAGCTGGGAACGTAAGATCAGCAAATTTTTCAATAATATCTCGCTAGTTAGAAACGCTAATTGAACAGTTAAATAATTAGAAATTGAGAGTAAGCTTCTTCTTCAATAAGAATTGCTTGGACTGTTGCAGAACGAATGACGTCGTCGAAGAGAAGCACGACGAAGAGAAAAGCTCCGGCGAGCTTGTTCTAGAGCTGAAAATGTCCTGCGTGGGGATGCCCTGTTGCGATGATGGCTTCCGATTGGCTGGCCCCGCGTCGGAATGCTCCCTCAGGAGCAAGGCTCGTATCGATGCCCTTTTCGAGGACTCGAGGTACAAAACTTAATAGTCTATTCTCATAACAATGAGCTTCTAACTCAATTTAACACAACAAGAACTACTTTATAATTTTTCAATGTTAGTCAACATACATTCTGATAATAATGCAATGCCAAATTAAATTACAATGATTTTTTTGTAATTCCAAATTAAATTGAAACTCATTTATCCAGGTCGATTTACGGGTCGAATTTTGGCGGTTGGTACGGCGGCGTGTCGACCATGAACTCGAATCATTTGGAAGAGATGGGCGCGGACGAGCAGAGGAGGGTGAACAGCGCGGTGCAGGCGAGGATCGAGGCGATGTTCGCTTCCGTGGAAGCCGAAAGCGGAACACCCGGTGAATGCGCCGCTGCGATTTTACCGGTAAATATATCGATTACTTTCCTCCTCGTGGTTCTTCCTCGTTCTCGTGCCAGCACTTTGTTCTACTCTCATCGGTGTTGTTGCTCGTCGCTGATAACACCGATGATAGAGTGTTGATCTCGAAAATATGTATTTTTCTTATATTAATACAATTTTAATTTAGATTTAATTAGAAGGTGGAATATTCTTCTTTTCAAGTCGATTCAAGAGAAATCTCTTCAGAAATAAAAATATTTAATATTGAAATTATTATAATTTAAAAAATTGAACTCTATAAGCATTCAATATTATAAGAAATGGAC